TATACCAGGGAGTTGTCTTTAAATGATACCATAGCATGGAGGACATGCACACCTATATATCAGGCAGTTATTTGTCTTTAAATAACCTGTTTGATATAAATCCTTGGTAAGCCCACATCTGGAATACTGCATAGTTCACACGTTTTCAAGATGTTCAGCTTCGTTCCTAAGCTAATCACTTTATTTTTCCAGATCTTATTCATCGCCTTCTTACTCACTCTTGCTTTCGCTATTCTAGTCGCTATTTCCTTCCTACAGTCTAGATCATATGTCATGTTGCTCCCCAAATTTGTGAACTTCTCTATGTGCTCTAGTTTGATCCTATCTACACTGATCTTTCTTCCTGTTTCCTTATCTCCAAATACCATCGTCTTCGTTTTATCTATTCATAATCAGTCCATACCGCTTCCCTTTCTCATCTGGCACCTGCACCATTCTTGCTAACTTCTCTTCATCTTCCTTGATAACTACATCATCTGCGAACCTCAAGTTGTTAATTCTCATCCCATGCGCCGATATCCCTTCTGCCTCTTCCTTGATCTTGTCCAGTCAATCAACTTATCAATCCAACCCCGATCACTCAATTGGTATCATTGACCTTGTTTATCTAGGCAACGTCCAAGCCGGCATCTTTTATCAGTTAATTGTACTGGCACCAGATTTCATTCATATTGTTGTTTTACGATCAGCTCAGCAGATTGACACTAACCCTCTTCTTTTATCCAGGCTTGGGACTGGCATGAAACCCCAGAGGCTTCATGGTAGAGTTTCAGTGTGCAGCGGCAATCAAAAAAGCAAATAGAATGTTAGGAATCATTAAAAAATGGATAGAAAATAAAACAGAGAATATCTTATTTCCTCTATGCAAAACCATAGTACGCCCACATCTTGAATATTTTGTACAGATGTGGTCTCCTCATCTCAAAAAAGATATACTGGCATTAGAAAAGGTTCCAAGAAGTGCAACTAAAATGATTAGGGGTTTGGAATGGGTCCCATATGAGGAATAATTAAAGAGACTGGGACTTTTCAGCTTGGAAAAGAGGAGACTAAGAGGGGATATGAGAGAGGTCTATAAAATCATGAGTGGTGTGGAGAAAGTGAATAAGCAAAAGTTATTTACTTGTTCCCATAATATAAGAACTAGGGGCCACCAAATGAAACTAATGGGCAGCAGGTTTAAAACAAATAAAAGGAAGTTCTGCTTCACACAGCACATAGTCAATCTGTGGAACTTCTTGCCTGAGCAGGTTGTGAAGGCTAGGACTATAAGAGGGTTTAAAAGAGAACTAGATACATTCATGGAGGTTAAGTCCATTAATGGCTATTAGCCAGTATGGGGAAGGAATGGTGTCCCCAGCCTCTGTTTGTCAGAAGGTGGAGATGGATGGCAGGAGAGAGATTGCTTGATCATTACCTGTTCGATTTACTCCCTCTGGGGCACCTGGCATTGGCCACTGTCGGCAGACAGGATACTGGGCTGGATGGACCTTTGGTCTGACCCAGTATGGCCATTCTTATGTTCTTTTGTAAATGATGCTACAGTATGGACAGGCATTATAGTCTAGAGAAGTTCTTTCCGGAGTGCAAAAAGTCCCTAAATGCATCTGGAAAATGCTGGCCTGGTATTCAGAATAGCAAGTTGTTCTGTTCTTTCTGTTCTTTTAATACCTGTCTTTCCCCAGCACTACCCTTTGTAATGGTATTTTGTAGCCTTTGCAAATTCTTTCTTTCACAGAGCATGGAGTGGTGATGCTAAACCTTGCTTATCTGCGTTGTATTTCCTGATGCAGCCTGAAGGTGCATTCCTTCCACTTTGGCATATTTCCATCACTATATTTAATCTTTTTAGTAGGTGCGTTTTGTAATCCAGAGCAGCGTGTCTCTTGGCCGAAACGTCTCCATTCCACATTGGGTTAACTGCTCAGGCAATCACTTACGCTGCAGTTCATATGCCAATAGGACCAAAGGGTATGTCTGCAAAGCAAAAAAATAACCCCCAGCTGCAAGTCTGACTCGTGTATCTGTGCTTGTGTGCCAGAGATAACAACAGCCACGCAGATGTTCAGGCTCCAAAATTCCCCTCAGAATCTAGGCGCATTATCCACCCCAGCAATGGTTGCATTTCAGCGGTACTGAATGCAGAGCTTTGGGATGTGTGTTTCGGAATCCAGTTTTAAGGAGGGTTGTGGAAATGGTCCTATCTTAGCAGCCTCAGGCTTTCAGCTAATCAAGGGTGTCCGTTACCAGCCAGCCTGCTCTGCAAAAGAAGGGGTGGGTTAGGATGCTTTGGACTGGCAGAGGCCTAAAGTTTGGCAGGCTTGTGAAATCTAGCCACTTTCCTGGAGCTTAGCATTAGCCCTGCGGAAGTGAGGAGTGTCATATAAGACAGTGGAGCTTCCAAGCACAACCCCTCCAGAGCACAACCTTTGGTTGGCAAGGACATCCAGTTAATTAGCACTGGGACAATCAAGCATATTCTGCTAGTGAGAAAACACTAGAAATGTGAGACTGCCTTCAAGCAGAGTGCACTGGGTTTTTTTAGAATCACCAATCCCGGAAGTCCACCCTTAAGCCATGTGTACATTAGGAGCTCTTGACAGGTGTTGGCAGACTACAACAGCAAAGCACTTCTAGTATGGTACATGTGTCACCCACACACTTTCTGGGTGTGGTGCACTGTCCCTTGTAGTGTCACTTAGACAGAGAGAAAGAATGAGTGTGCTTCACAGCCTAAGCTGAGGGCTAACTAGATTTTTGCTCATGTAATAGAGGCTCATGCACTAAGCTCCAGTAGGTCCCCAGTTCGGTTCTGCCTGTCAGCCTTGCACATCCTCAGACTCCAGATTATAATGTATTCCCAGGAATGAGCCTAGTTATATCAGGAAAAGCACAGCGTGGCCAGTATAATTGCACACTGTCTCTCATTACACCCCTGATTGATAGAGCTATGCTAGCAGAGGCATTACAGAGCAGTATTTAACTCTCTGCCAGCTCCTACTTTATTTGCTTTGTTCCCTGTGGTACTATGTTTGCTTGCTGAAATGTCATACCGGGTTATGCTCCCAGGCAAGATCAGCCAGCTGCGCTGTGGGTTCCGACCTTGCAACTTTATAAAACTCAGTTCACTGAAAGTTTTACAGCCTCCTCAAGTCTCTGTTGCAGAAGTGACTGTTTTTTTCTTTTATTGCAAAGCTTGGCTGTGCCAAACACCCATTTCACTGTATTTTAGCTGTAGGTAAGCACACAGCATGCCAGGAAATAAGCAGTTTATAACCTGGAGTGCTGCCGGCTGAACTTTTACTACCTGACATGAAAAAACTTCCTCCCCTCCAAAAACCAAAAAAGCCCAAAACGTTTCAAGTCCTGCATGCAGGCACTGTAATACAGAATTAGCAAATCCTTCATTTATTTTGCAGTGCAGTGTAATTAGTTTGCATTATCTAGCATTTTCCATACATTTCTCACCAGATCTTGAGTACTGATTAGTTCTTAAAGTGGCACTCATAGAAGCAGTCCTTTTTCCAGCCCAGAGTAAGGACTGTTTGTGGATACAAATTTTGTGAGATTGCAGCGGGACTTTTAATATATATTTTATGTTACTGGAATCATCAGGAAACTTGCAAGACGGTTTTCTCAGCATTTTAACAGGGATAGATTAGGATCCTCGCAAATTGAAGATTTGTTGCTAATTAACCTTGGTAACATACAATGCATGAGGATAAGCATGACTTTTTTCTCCTCACTGAAAATGGCTTGCTGTTTGTTTTTAATTCCACCCACTCCTCTTCTGTGCTGTCAGACATATCGGAAAGTCGGAGGACTCCTTCACAGTTATGGTGAAAGTTTGCCTGTTTTGTGTGGGCTGTCTCATGTTTATATGACTTCTTATCCCCCCGGCAAATGTCAATGCACCTGTTCAAATCACAATACGGACTTGTCCATGCTTGCTCCTTTTGGAAATGGCTTAAAAATAAAAGCCAGCAGTGTAATCAAGTATGGAATAAGCCTGTTCAAAAATAATCCTAGATCCTTCCAGAGATGCTGTTGGACTGGAAGTTTGGCTTTCCCTGTAGTTTTGTGTAGTCCTGTATTCTTCAGCTAGTACTTTAAATTTTTCTATGCGCTGTCATCGAAGCATTTCAAAGCACCTAATGAAGAACTAAGGAAATGGAGGCACGGTAAGTGAAGTGACTTGAGCAGAGTCACACAATTTATCTGTGCCAGAGGCAGAAATCAAAACCCAGATTTTTCCAATGACCCCTGCACCATCTAAAATTCCTCTTAACACAGCATGCCTTAAAGATGTTCTTTCATGAATACGAATAATCACCTGTCCTGGACTCAATCAAGCAATACAAACATGACTCAGGAGGACAATATTTCCAGGGACTGAGGTAAGTTTCTGCCAAGTATTGATGAGTGCGTTTAAAGATAAGGGGGGAAGCAAAATCTTAATTATTACGTAGTCCCTTGAAAGAAAGTACATTTGGGGCTTTACCTCCCAAGCCAGCAATTTAATGGCCTAAGGGCTACTGGCACACTCACAAAAGAATTGATGCTCACAACTGGATTTTTCCTCTTTTGCACAGGCAAGCTGGCAGTTCAAATTAAATTTTTGAACAATTTCTGATTTTCAGAGGCCAGCTTTAAACAGATACAAGTGGGATAGGTGCTTTTTTGAAAAGTCTCTCTCTCCTTCATGGAATTTCTGTGAAGGGGGCTCTAAGAAAGTGGATCTTATTTTGGTTGTGAGCTTTTACCTTTGTGTGTAAGTCAATCATATTAGTGGAAAATTCCTCCATTCATTTAAAAAGAGAAACAGTAGTAACTTTCAAATTTGGTGGCTGTGACATCAATTACGGCCTGGACTGCCAACATTCCAAAGAGAATATCTCTCTAATCTCCAGCCAGTCAGGGCAGATGGGGCGGAGCCCGGAACACAAGTCTAAACATTTACAGGTGCATAAGTACTTGGGGAAGGCACAGGTGATGCACCTGACTCGGGGAAGGACTAACACAGGTGTGTTGGGACCGGGTTGCCTGCTCGTGCTAGATTATGAGCTCATTTGATCTGCAGACACACTCTCCACCACGCTGCAGCCCGCAATTTCCAAATATTGGCCAGGAGCCTCCCGAGATGAACATCTACTATGAGAACTTTTTCCATCCACAAAACGTTCCTAGCCCACAACGACCAACCAACTTTGAAACTGGGGACTACAACTCCACTCCTAACCCTTACCTCTGGCTAAATGGCCCCTCCATTACCCCCCCGTCCTACCTACCAGGATCCAACACCAGTCCTTTCATCCCTCAGTCCTACGGGATGCAACGGCAGCTCTTGCCCAACATGCACAGTTTGGGGGGTTCTGATTTGGGCTGGCTTCCTCTCCCGTCCCAAGAGGAGCTGATGAAGCTGGTGAGACCACCCTATTCCTACTCTGCGCTGATTGCCATGGCCATCCATGGAGCACCAGAGAAGAGGCTGACTCTCAGTCAGATCTACCAGTACGTGGCTGACAACTTCCCCTTCTACAACAAAAGCAAGGCCGGGTGGCAGAACTCCATACGGCACAACTTGTCTCTCAATGATTGCTTCAAGAAAGTGCCCAGAGACGAAGACGACCCAGGTACATTTCTGATTTTTTCCACTCCTCTCCCCCTATGTATTTTGTAAAGAGACACTATGGGCCAGATTCCAGTCTCCCTTCAGAGCAAATCCCAGAGTAATTCCACTGCCTTTGGCAGAGTTGCTCTGGAATTCGCACCCATGTAAACTGAGATCTGACTCTGACCCACAGTGTAGCTAATGAAGCATGCGTGGCACAGCAGAAAAATTCTTGATTGCCACAGTTCTTCCTGAATATTGATCAGAGCACACAGGGCTTCACAAGCCCAGGCACAGGCTAGCTGAGCACCAGACATTCAAAAGCCATTGGGCACATTGCATATGAGCGTGGCTAACCAAATCAGGAATGAATGGAAATGGAGTGAGACAAAAGGAAATTGGCTAGGAAATTCTTTTGCTTTATGGAATCAACAACCATTCTCCAAAGCAGGGACGGGGTGGGTGAGTTGGCTTGTTTTGTTTTGTTTTGTTTTGCTTAGTTTAAATTGTCAGCTTTCAGACTAGAAAAAAATATCACTGCTTTTCTGTCCCCAATCTCCAGGCTGCTATTTTTGTCAGCGCTGTTCCTTTCTGTATTGTTAGTCAGCAACATCTGTCGGGACGGATGTGAGGCTGGCTGGATGACTTTGTGTGTCACTGTGAGGCGAATCCTGCTCTGTGTAGCATCCATGCTATTCCATTGACCCCACAGGATCACAAGAAGTTTGTCACTGTGCTGTCAACGCAAAAGATGAAGTCCCCAAGTTTTTTACTTATGTAAAATTCCCCTCAACTTCATTTCTTAGCTGGCCCAATGCTTCAGCATTTGCTCCAGTGGGCTTGAAGGCCAAGGATTTTTTTTTTTTTTTTTTTGCAGGGTATCAGAGACTTGCCTCCCTTTATTTGGGTGAAACAGAGAGCGATTGAGGTTAAACCCAGGGAGTCGTCTCTTTGCTGTCTGTGTCTTTCTGTTGAGAATCTGCTGGTCTCTTTCCACAGGAAAAGGAAACTACTGGACTCTGGACCCAAACTGTGAGAAGATGTTTGACAACGGAAATTTCCGTCGGAAGAGAAAAAGGAAGTCTGACATGGGGTCCGGCACAGCCTCTCTTGTGTCTGAAAAATCAGAGGACAGCATCCTAAGTGGCAGTCCTAAGGCTGCCGAACACCAGGATCTCTTGGAAAGCTCCTCGCCTGTAACTGACAGTTCACCCGACAAGAGATCTTCTCCGCCATCTTCCAGCAGCCCCTGCCTCAACAGCTTCCTCTCCAGCATGACCGCATACGTTAATGGCTCTAATGCGGCGAGCCGATCGGTGCCCCTGGGACTCGGCGCTGAGCCCACTGACAAAATGGGACAGAATATGGTAGGCTTCAATTCGTACGCTACGCTTTCGAACATCCCCAGCCACAGCGGGGCAGAGTGGTCCAATTCAATGCCTTCTAGCCACCTTGGCTATAGCAATTCAGTTCTCAATCAATTTAATACTCATTTCTACAGCAGTATCGGGGCAAATAACACCCTCTATCCCAGAGAGGGAACGGAGGTTTAAACAACAAGGAAAGGCTGGAGGGTTGAAAGGAAATGATCAGTGGTTAGAGGGCTAGTGTTAGCCAAATAAAAGTGAGAATCCCGATCCTCTTCCCTAGGAGATTTCCTCATATCCCTGACCATCACACCTTTATCAGCTCTGCTCATGAAAGGCGTAGGCCTGGAAGCACAAGGGTGTTTCAGGCAAGCTCTGTGGGACTGTAATTCTCTCAGATCCTCCCCTGCACTATTCTACGGCCATCCCTAAAGAACTGCCCATTGTCTTAGTCCCGGGCTACACTAGGAACTGTTACCTGAGTAGTTATATCACTTGGGGGTGTGATGTGCTTAGTGACAATTTAATATCTGCAAAAGCCCTAGTGGAGATGCAGTTATAGAAGCACAAAAGTCCTTTTCTTAGAACAGCTTATTTCCCTTTGGGGAGCTGGTATAAGTTAGACTGACACACAAGTCCTTTGCAGGTGTGAACCTAAGGTTTGACAGGACCTTGTTAGCTGGATAATATTACCTCAGTATTTGTGCTATTCCCTCACTAAATACATGGACGTACTACAAATGCTGAGGTAGCTATTTAAGGACAACCACTGTTCCTGGCTTCCCATATCACTGGCAAATTTTGGCCAATAGCATTAATCTTTCATGCCCCATTGGGGTATACAACTAGGTGCCAAGATAGAATTTGGCCTTTACATTCATGGGCAGAAAACTCATCCAGAAACAGAGGGAAATAGCAAAAATTAGGGAAGTTTACGGTCAGATACAATGTTTTCAGTTTTAAGTATATGCATAAGGTCAAACGCAGCTTGCCTTCTGGGCTTGATTGCAATCTAATGGCCATTTCTTGGGCCTACTTGCATTAGAAAAACAGGATTTGTGCCATGCTATATATTTTACATACCTGTTTTATGGAGAAGAAAACTTGTTTGTCCCACCAACACTTGTACTGAACAAAGCATCTGAACCTTGAGTGCTTTTGCACAGAAAGTCTAACATATCACTGAGCTTCATTTCCAAGACTGCATCTACTCCATGAATTGAGTGCATTCATTGGGGAAAAAAAGACTGTTTACTGTACATTTGTGTTTTGTAAAAGTCAACTAAACAATTGTTATGTACAAGTGTAAATATAGTTGAATAATGCTTCTTTATTTCTCCTCATCATTTAAAATATTCCACGTGTACTGCAGTCACACAGAAACATATAAAGATTAAATAAAGGTTTTGCACAAATATGTTATTTAAGTTCCACAGTTGTATATTGCAATATTGAACACTGAATATACTACAGCACAGACATCTTCAGCTATTTACAGCTAAGCTCTGGCAAATATTTCAAGACGGCTGAGAAGAGATACTTTTTAAATTAATATATTGTGACAAACATCAAAATCAAGGTATTTAGATTTTTTAAAATATCTACTTTGGTTGCAGTTTCATTATGAGAGACCCACTGAGGTATTTTCAATAATGAAGCATTTTGTTTGTGAGTGAGTGTACATGCAAACAATTTCAAACACTAAACTGTTAATAATCAGCAGCCAATAAGAAGGAAGTGGATTATTCTGATACTTGCAAAATTTGGCTTTTCGGGCTTTAAACTTGTGTAGGTTAGCTTGAGAAACACATTATAAACAGCCTAGACGGTCAACTGGTTAAACAATTTTATATCTAAGCAACCAAAATTTGCATGCCCGAGGAGTGTTATGCAAAGAAAGGCCACACAGAGTCATTGCCAAACAAGAATTGCTCTTTTAGCTTCTGCACTGGAACGCAGAGATGCCAATCATCTACAATGCTAGAAAGGGCACTTATTTTCCCACACACAAATTGTCTAAAAAGGTTTTTTTTAACATTTTTAGTTTGATTCTCTGGCATTCTTTGTACTTTGTGTTTGCTTTTTTAATAGGGTTAATTTCGCAACCACCCTGGTGAGATTTCACTTGGAATGAGGCACTGCTAAATGAAACAGTTGCTCATTGACACTCAATGCAAATAATAGGACCCGACAAAACAGCTGTGGGCAACATTTCCTACAGAACCAGCTCTCTCAGTTCTGCAAAGCCGTTCAGTACATGTGAAATGTATTGAGTGTCAGCACTGGGTTTTGGGGAGCACTACACAAACAGGCCTCCAGAAACAGTCTGCACGAAGCTCTTCACAAACATGAGAGGAGTGTGAGACTGGAAATGGAAGACCTAGAAAATAACTGTACAGCACCTGCAGAGGCAGTAATAATGCTAAGCAGAAACAAAAGGGAGATTCCAAGTCACAGAAAGCCATTCATTTCTATCAATCTGCATTGTCTGAAATAAATGAGCGATTTCATACTAGTCTCTGCCTCAAATCTGGCCCATACTGAAACTCTTGTTTGTGAAGTCAGGCTTCACGAACTGGGCTTGTTTAGTTTGGAAAAAAGAAGATTAAGGGGGGACATGATAGCGGTTTTCAAATATCTAAAAGGGTGTCACAAGGAGAAAGGAGAAAATTTGTTCCTCTTGGTTTCTGAGGACAGGACAAGGAGTAATGGGCTTAAAGTGCAGCAGGGGAGGTTTAGATTGGACATTAGGAAAAAATTCCTAACTGTCAGGGTGGTCAAATATTGGAATAAATTGCCAAGGGAGGTGGTGGAATTTCCCTCTCTGGAGATATTTAAGAACAGGTTAGATAGACATCTGTCAGGGATGGTGTAGACGGAGCTTGGTCCTGCCTTGAGGGCGGGGGGCTGGATTCGATGACCTCTCGAGGTCCCTTCCAGTCCTATGATTCTATGATTCTATGATTAGGAGAACAGGCTAAAAACTGACTGTCCTCTCTCTTGTAGAAATACCAGGTCCAATGGTGAGGTATGGTGAACGGAGGGTGGTGAAGCAGGGGAAATTTGAATCAGTTCTACCCAAAATGTACCCGCTTTATGAAAGGATAAATAATTAAAAGAGCATTTTCACAGTAGATTTTTTTTTTAAAGAGAATATTTGCACTGACACGGTCACCCTGCAGTACTGAGATACTCACAGATCTATTAATATACTTAATTAACAGATGCACTGAAACACAGAGGAATGTGTTAATAGCACCTGGCAGGTCTCATATCACAATGATAACACAACTATTAATGCATTTCACTCCTACTCCTAAATATACATTGCCTGCCAAGGTAAAAGCTGTTATTTCACTAAGTGGTGGTATTAAAAATACCAGGTTTTTTCCAACCACGTCATTACTGAAACCACTCCCATCCTCCCCGCTCAGAACTGCCATCTCCTCAGATTTGGGACTATTTCCTGTGGCAGAAACACACGCAGTCATTGGTGGGACTCTGGGCAAGAGGGAGGATGTGAGAGAAGTTTGTGGGGGCTTTGGTTTCTCTGGGACAGTGTTTCTCAAAGTGGGCCAATGGACCCTGTTTGGGAATGCCACCAGTGGGCCTGAGCTGTTTTGATTACCTAAAGGGTCCGCAGCCATGGAGCCTCAGAGCTCCCATTGGCTCTGTTTTGCCATTTCCAGCCAAGGGGAGACATGGGAAGTTCCCCTTGTCTGGAGACTGCCAATTGGAGCCAATGGGGCTACAAATCCTATAGGGAAACACAGCAGCATGGGCCTGCTACTGACTTCCCCAAAGTGTAGCTCTGGCCTACTTTGAGAAACGCTGCTCTGGGATATTCTGGCTTATTTTCCATGATAGACCCTGCTTTAAACTGTGTTTTCTGTTGTGAGACGTGCTTGTACACACACAGCATTGTGGGCATTTTGGCTTTTATGGTTCCCCTCAACAGTTTTTTTTCCCTCTTTCTGCCTTGAAACGCTGGGCTTCCACAGCCAATCATTATTTCTCTTCCCACTGGCCACTTCTGTGCTGATAACATTGATGCAGGCTTGGGTTATCCACTGGGTCCTTTCTCTGGGCTGAAAGTAGTGCTGAGTTTTCAGCCCAGTCGTTTCATCATCCAAAGAGTCAGAACAAGTCCTCAGCACATCAAGTCGATAACGGATTGTGAGAAAACTTTTCCAGAGCCCAGGGAAGAGGCTGCAGTTGGGAAGTTGGCAGTAGGGAAGCTAATTAAGGAAAAATGCATCTATATGGATGAAATGAGCCATAATCATGGACAAAAAATATTTGTATGAGAGAACCTAGAGTCAAGTGTCCTGGTGGATCTCTCATCACCCTATAGTGCTACCACGACAAATAGTGCAGATCAGCTTGGCTCTTCAAGCAGCTCTTCTACTTTTGGCTCAGCATCTATTCCATCCAAAGGTTTGTGGGGGGAGGGAAGAAGAGGGAAATCTGCAGTGCTCTGCAGCATGGACAATATTGTCCTGGTTACACACTGTTCCTCTGAAGCACACCGCAAAACCCTCACGGATGCTTAATAAAAGTCCAATATTAAGTTTTGGAATTCAAGAATGTCTTTCCTTCCCGCCCACAGCCCTCCCGATGAGCAAGAGGCAATGCTTTTAAATCCATTACTGGATGTCCAGGGAGGTTAAAGCGTTTTCCTATAGCTTTATGTGTGTTACCGCTCCGTATGTCTGATTTGTGTCCATTTATTCTTTGGCGCAGAGACTGTTCAGTTTGGCCAATATCCATGGCAGAGGGGCCTTGCTGGAACTTCTTTCCAAAAGATCAGCCTGTGGTCTAGATGTACCCATTGTGAACTACCCATGCAATGATTTTGGTAACTGGCATGTATAGTTTGTAAAAACTGGAGAAATTTTGGATTTGCACTGACATTCTCTGGACTACACCAAGACAATTACACATTGAACCTCTTAAGTCCAGCACCCTCAGGACCTGACCTACGCCAACCCAGAAAATTTGCTGAACCACAGGAGGTTAATATTTTCTAGCAGCATTACCAACGTTTCCAATCCTTACTGGGCCCTTAGAAGCTATTTGGGGTAAATTGGAATTAAATAACAGCACAGAACACTGAGAGCCAGAACTAGTGGCTCTAAATGAACTTTATGGGAATGATGGAAACATGGCCACACCCATGATAAGTGGACATCCAGCTAACTAAAATCATGTTGGACCACCAATATTGTCAGGTGAGGGAGTGCCAGACTAGAGAAGTTCATCCTCTATATACCTAATTAATTTTAACCAGCTTTTCTAATGTGTTAGAGAGCCCCCATTTCATTGCTCTTGGATACAATTCTTTTTTTAAACTTGCAAGACAGCATGCAACAAGGCAGAAAAAAATCCTCTGCAGAGGGCTTGGGTTCTTATTCATTTGATCTTTCAGTGCAAGGCTGAAGTGTCCAAGGATGCAATATCCCTAACAAAGGGAAATCAAAGATAGGCCAACTGAAGTTAGCTTCTTCTTAGTGAGGGCTCCCAAGTCTGTGTTTAAAATTTGCATTTACCTGTATGATCCGGTACAGAATGAGTTGTTTTTCATTACACACCAAATAGATAGAACTTGAAGAACTACTGTGTTTAAAGAAGACATGAAAGTTACCTGAAAATTGTAAGCTTTTCAGCTCTGCAAACATTCGTGCCTCCAGCAAAAAGCAGTAGGAGCTCTATTGAAAGTATTCAGAACTACACCATGTAGCAATTTTCTACAGATGGGAGACATTATGAAATTGCCTATTGTCTAACAGTGCAGGGCCAGCTTTAGGAAGTGCGGGGCCCAATTCGAACAATTTCGACGGGGCACCGCAGCAGACAGCAATTTTGGTTGAGCAGAAAAAAAAGAAAAAAAACGGCATACAAAAAATCCCCAGCTACCTCTCCTGACAAACCCCCGAGGTAACTAGCCCCCCCCCCCTTCCCCCTCACTGTGGCACAGGGAAACCCTGTGCTCAACTCACACCTCCTGTGGCGCAGGCAGCCTATCGCACTCCTCCTCCGGGGCAGATGCCCCCTCCCACAGAACGCCCGGCACACTTCCGGCTTCAGGGCGCGGGCCCCCTTTAGGCACGGGGCCCGGTTCGGGGGAATCGGGCGAATCGGCCTGAGGCCTGCCCTGTAACAATGTATTCAATGGTTTCTTTGTGGTTTCATGTGAACAACATTTCTGTGTTACAGGTATAATTGACTTCTTCCCACTACCGATGCCACCCCACAGCATTGCTTGCACTTGACCACATCCAACCATTCTTGCACCTCTTTCTGTGGGAGCCAAAGGTGGCGGAAAGGAACCTGTGTAAAATGCCTCAGTTCTTCCCAGGCACTTCCCTGACTCGTTGCTGTATGTACAAATAATGGCAGGTTGT